ACTCGGCACCCTAAACTTCTAAAGCCTAGAATTCTAAACCCTACACTCCTCAACCCCTAAACCCTAAATTCTAAACCCTAAACCCCTAAACCCTAAATTCTAAACCCTAAACCCCTAAACCCTAAATTCTAAATCCTAAACCCCTAAACCCTAAATTCTAAACCCTAAACCCCTAGACCTTGAACCCTAAACCCTAACTCCTACAACCTAAATTCTAAACCCTAAACCCCTAAACCCTAAATTCTAAACCCTAAACCCCTAAACCCTAAATTCTAAACCCTAAACCCCTAGACCTTGAACCCTAAACCCTGACTCCTACAACCTAAATTCTAAACCCTAAACCCCTAGACCCCAAACCTGACGGGAGGAGTTTGAAACGTGAGCTTCCTGGGCTCTGTGGGCTTTCGCGCTTCAGGCTGAGCACAAACTCATAATACTCTTTAGCGGTTTAGGGGGTCTAGGGTTTAGGGTTTAGGGTTTAGAGTCTCTAGGTATAAGGGTTTAGGGGTTTAGGGTTTAGGGTTTTAGGGTTTTAGGGTTTAGGGTTTTAGGCGTTTAGGGTTTACCTTAACCCCAAAGAACCTACTGCTTTAAGGACTTGTGTAAGGAAGTATAATAAGGAACCCTAGAAAGGTAGGTTCTTTAGGGTCCAGGTAGACCCTAAAGCCTAAACCCTTAAATCCAAAACCACCGGGCAGATGTAAAAGAGTCACCCCAACTGTAAAAAAAACAAGAACCTTAACCGGTAAAGGCAAGAACAGGCCGCGTACACCCTGTAAACCGATAACAGACACAATTTAGTTTAACAGCCGTAGGCAATCCTACTACAGGCTTACGAAAACATTCAAAACGCCCTAAAAAAGTCGATTACGACGTGAAAAAAAGCACTCAACCCTAAACCCTAGACCCAACTCAGAACAAGGCTGAGGCTCATGCATGGGCGTGTGGAGCTGGAAGATCATACGGCGATCAAGTCGCCCATAGACCTGGAGCTGGTTGTCTTGCCGTTCCTAGGTCTTTCGCTTATAGGGTTGTAGGAGGTTTCAGAACGGTTATGACTAGGGCATAGTAACAATTTATGGGAGTTTTCAAAAGTCCCACACCTATTGGGTTTCATAGGTTGTTTATGCTTTTTGTGCATGTCATCTTTTCTTAGGGCTTTGTGTTAAGATTTTCGAGGTCCGCCACTCACTTACCAGCATCTTAGTTCGAACCCTTTGTGTTGACGCTGGGGTTTGTGTATGCAGAATGAACCATGATACCCGAGTTGTAAGGGATCACTACGGAACTTAATTCTAAGCCATGAAAACTCACACAAAAAGCGTGTACAACTTAGGCTATTCTGTTAAACCTAATAAAGCAATATACAACCCCATTGACTTATTCTGGGAAAAACAAGCAGCCCATGGAAATGAGGTTTATTTATTGATGCTACCCTAAACCCTAAGCCCCAACTCTAAACCCTAAACCCTAAATCCTAAACCCCAGCCCTAAACCCTAAACCCCAAACCCTAAGCCCTAAACTCCAAACCCTAAACCCTAAACCCTAAATCCCAAACCCCAGCCCTAAACCCTAAACCCCAAACCCTAAACCGTAAACCCTAAACCCTAAATCCCAAACCCCAGCCCGAAACCCTAACCCCTAAACCCCAAGCCCTAAACCCCCAAAACCGAGGTTTATCGACGCTACTTCGGATCAGCTCATTGAGTTGACATCGGCTGCAGAAAGTGGTGAGGCCTCTCGCGTCGAAGAGCTGCTCCTGAGGCCCCAGGACCCGAGCCTGGGTTCCCCTTTGGAAACGGTAGGTTAGAAGTTTAGGGATTAGGGTTTAGGGTTCAGGGTTTAGGGTTCAGGGTTTAGGGTTTAGGGCTGGGGTTTGGGATTTAGGGATTCGGGTTTAGGGTTTAGGGTTTAGGGTTTAGGGTTCAGGGTTTAGGGTTTAGGGTTTAGGGATGTGTATAATGTAGGGGCCTACATAATTACCTATACTATGTTGGGGGGTTCCTTATTGTAACTATAGTATAACGGGCCCCAAGACCCGACTTTAACTATTAAGGCCCCCATATATGTGTATATATATATATACACACATATCTTTATATAGAAACATATACATATGTATATCCTTGGATATATACATGTGTATATATGTAAAGAGAGTTAATTGATTAAGCAACAATTTGTTTGTGTATGGGTATGTGCCTGTCTTTCTCTCTCTCTCTCTCGCTATATATATATATATATTACACACACACACACATACTGTGCGCGTGCGTGCATACGAGTGTGCGGTGGTGTATGATAGTGTATGGTAAATAAATGTGTTTTCCTCCTTGTTTTAAGGCGACTGAGGTTCCTCCCAACTTAAGCGGCTTGTAGAGCCCTTTAAAGCTCGTGCTGTTCAAGACGTAACACAGAACCCTCAACCCCAAAGCCGAGAATTCGAATCCTGAACCTTGTGAACCCTTAAACGCTATGGAGCTTATAGAAGCCCTCTAAACCAAAAAGAGAGGCCCAACAAAACCCTAAACGAAAGAGAGAGAGAGAGAGAGAGAGACCCAAAATAGGCCTAAACCAAAACGAGAGAGAGACCCAGGAACTCGCCGGACTGCCTTTGCAGAGTTCCGCTCATCAGCGCGGCGGGGGAGGGCCGTGCAGAGGTGGTCCGCTTGCTGCTGGAAGCCGGGGCCGACTCTGAGGCTTCTCGGATCTTAGAGAAGTAGGGTTCCTTTTTGGGGTGCTTTAGGGGGTTTAGGGGTTTAGGGTTTAGGGGTTTAGGGGTTCAGGGTTTAGGGTTTAAGGTTTAGGGGTTTAGGGGTTCAGAGTTTGGGGTTTAGGGTTTAGAAAAGTAGGGTTCCTTTTGGGGGTACTACACGGGATTTAGGGGTTTAGGGTTCAGGGTTAGGGTTCTATAATAGGGTTGCCTGTAAGTTGTAAGGGGACTCTCGGGTTCCCTTTCAGAGTTTGGGGCTTAGGGCCTACTTGAAGCATCATGAGACTTAGTAACTATGTAGGGTTAATATATTTGGGCAACTATACATCTAAAGACTTATAACCCCAATTAAGCTACTGACCACCTTACTGCACTTACAAAGGTCCAAGATCCTCCAAGTAGGATGTATGGTACCGTGTTACAGAGAGGATTGTTGCTCAACACCTTCACACCATGAGGCATCAATGGTTTAAGGTACGAGGCTATGGAGTTGAAGGCTTAGAGTTTTAGGGTTTGGGGTTTAGGGTGTAGGCTTTAGGCATCTTTAGGCATAAGGGTTTAGTGCTTTGTGGTTCAGTGCTTTTGGAACAACAATGCCAATGAGGCGAGGGACGATGAGGGCGGCACGGCTCTCCTGTGCGCCTGTGATCATCGTCATGTGGAAGTGACGAAGTTGCTGGTGCCTTAGAGACCAAACGACTCAGTCAAAAGAGTTTAAAAGCATAGCGCATGAAGGACCTATACCTTTACTAAGCTACCAAGCCCTATATGATTTTAACAAATTTGAGGTATAAAGGCCCTATACCTTGATGAAGCTATGTCCTTCTGAGCTCCCTTAGAGTGCGTCCGGCCCTTCAGGTGGAGGCCGGCGCTGACACCAATGCACCGGACGCAGAGGGAACTACAGCGCTTCATCTAGCATCCCTTCATGATGCCGTGGACTTGGTACGTTTACTACTGGATGCGGGTGCCGACATAGCCACCTCTGACCACGAGGGCCTCGCAGCTCTTCACTATGCAGCCTTAGAAGGTTCCTCAAATGTGGTCAGCATGCTCTTGGATGCTTCCGCTGATCTAATAAACGCCAAAGACATGAGTGGCATGACGGCTTTGCATGTGGCATGCGAGCGGAACTTTTTCGAGCTGGCTAGCTTGCTCCTCCGGAGCAGCACCACCGCCAAGGATGCAAGTGACCAGGAGGGCTTGTACCCGAATATCCTAAAGCTCGCAGTTGACAAATAGCCAGATCTGTCGAGAATTCTAATTTGTACGCTGGGCTGTTTGGAGCCCAAGGGTTAGGGGTCTTTTCAAGCTCTCCAGTGGGCTTCCTGGAACGGCAACGACTCTTTGGTTTAGGGTTTGCGGTTCTCTTGTACAAAAAGCAGATGTTGGCCTCAGAGACAGCATTGGCTACACAGCACTTCATACCGCTTCGGAGAGGTTTGGTCAAACTTAGGAATCTTTCTTTGTTTTGAATATTTTGAAAGAGGGATCCCAAACCGGATCTCTTTCCTTTCCTTCCTAGCAGACCCAGGAGAAGCAGAAGTGAGAAGGCGGGCTTGCTGTTGGAAGCGGGGGTGGACCGAAATGCTGCGGACATCAATGGGGCGACGGCTCTCCATCTGGCAGAAGCGATCAGAAGCCACGGCAGCATGCCTACCCGTCCTGCGCTTACTCGTGCAGATCGGAGATGATAAGGCCCTGACCGTCAGGTCCGGGCACACGGCCCTCGACTATGCATTCAAAGCGGATTTGCGAAGATGGTGCAACTGCTGGCCCCATGGTCTTGCTTTGACTCCCACCTTCCGATTTGTGATGCCTTGCTTGGTCCTTTGTAAAGCAGACACAGACGCACGCGGCGCCCCCGACGATGCGTTGGGAGGCCCAATTAGGAAGGATGCGCCGAGCGCACGCAGAGACCTACCTGCGGCCAGCACACTTCATCATCCGATGATGAGGAGAACTCTTCTAGGAGCAACGGATACTGGATCTAGGAGAAATGGATACTGGAGATCGGCTGCTCTGTGAACATCCCATATCCGTCTTCTGCGCGTGTGACTCGGCAGTCGGCAAAAATGGACATGTGACATGGGCTATGCACGAGTGCAGCTGGAAGTCCAGTGAACTCTACACTTTAAGGTTTTAGATTTAGTGTTTAGTTACGGTTTACCCTAAGGCTCAACATATGGTCTTTAGGCTCGAGAGCCTTGCCCGCGGATACACATATCTCCACATTTCTATAGGGCATGTCATTCTAGGGCCCAGCCACAAAGTTGAGAAACACTGCGGTTTTTTGTCGGTACTATCAGGACCCATAGGATGCATCTTTAACTGCGGTAAGTCTATTCTTTTGAACAAGCTCTTAAACCCAACCCCATCCCTTGTAACCGCAAGCGGCTGCGTCAAGTTTCGAGTGCATGATTCTCAGGCGGCGGCATTTCGCTGCGGCCTGGGGGTGGTATGGGCTTGAGGCCGGACTTCTGCAGCCAGAGAGAGAGGAAGAGGAAGAGAGACAGAGAGAGAGAGAGAGAGAGACAGAGAGAGAGCGAGAGAGGGGAAGAAGCCAAACAACTAATGAGAGCGATGAGGTACACTGCTCGTACCTAGAATGATCCAAAACCGCAAACCTAAACCCTAAATCTTAGCTACACATCAGGATACTTCTATCTTGCCTAAACTTAAACAGTACGCCAACACCCAGAAACCCTGGCAGTCCGCTCAGAGTGACGATGTTCGGATCTGGCCCAGCTAGGAATCAAATCTTTTAAGGTCAACGACCAGCAGCTAAGGTTTAGGGTTTGGGGTTTAAGGTTTAAGGTTTAGGGTTTAAGGTTTACGGTTTAAGGTTTAGGCTTAGGGTTCAGGTTCAGTTGGAAACTGTCTTTTGGAGTGGCGATATCACTTTCAAACCCCTCACTGACTAAACCGTGTGAGAAATCTCTAAACCCTAAACCCCTAAACGCCTAAACCCTATCCCCCTAAACGCCTAAACCCTAAACCCCTAGACGCCTAAACCCCTAACCCCAAACCTGCGTGGAAGCCCTTGAGCCGAAGAGTTCGTTTCAACCTACAGCAAGCCCTCAGAATTTAGGGTTTAGGGTTTAGGGTTTAGAGTGGATTGAGGTTGAAAGCTGCGGTTTGGGGGTTTCGGCTTCGAAAGTGAGCGAGAGAGTTGCAAGCCGATGGCAGTCCTTAGAAGCCAAGAGCTCGAGGCTAGAGGGTTTAGCGTTTTAGGGATTTGAGGTTTGAGGGTTTAGGGTATAGGAGTTTTGGGATTTAGGGGTCTCGGGATTTGAGGCTTGAGGGTTTAGAGTATAGGGGTTTAGGGATTTAGGGGGTTTAGGGTTTAAGGCTTTGGGGTTTAGGGTATGCCAAGACCTAGAGGATCAGACCCTGCCCGATCTTTGGCACCCCAAGGATCCATGTATCCAAATATATTATACGCTTTGGCCTCAAGAGTAGTCCCTATATACGGGTTCTACCTGTAGTCTCCATTGTAGCTCCTTTTTTTGGTTCACCAAGCTTATAATATGGGATCCTAGCCATAAAACTGGTTAGCCACAAACAGGAACAGGTACTTCATCATGGCGAGCGCGGAAACCCAAAACTCCCGAAGTCACAATGCTCAAGCCCAAACTCCCAAAGCGTTAAACCGGTTGCGTCTAGTCTCTGTCTCCTATAATCAAAGGAGTTTGTCCAGATCCCCCTTTCTTCTGGCCCGCCGCCCACCCTGAACCGTAAAGAACGTAAGCCCTAAGCATACTACCACGAGAACAGCAGACGCGAAGTCCCGCAACCGCTCAAGCCCTGAACCCTCATAAAGCAAGGTTCAGGATTTAGGGTTTCTGAGCCCGTTTATACCCTAAACCATGAACCCTAAACCCTAAACCCTAAACCCTAAACCCTAAACCCTAAACCGTGGAACCATGAACCTTGAACGCAGGCCAGGAGGTGGTGGTATTAGCTTGACTGGTGGCCTGAATGGGCAGACACTCCGCCCAGGAGGAGGAGGCACACCATTTAAGCTTCGCTGGTTAGGTCGTAGGGTGTGGGGGTTAGAGCGTGGGAGTTAGGTCCAAGGAGTTCATGTAGGATTTAGGTTTGAGGATTTGGGGCTCATTGTTTCAGGTTGTGCAAACATCCCTCAGACTCTCCGAGCACTTGTCCAGTGCACCGTGGATTTTGATGACTTTCCTGTGGCATGGCGTAAGCTTTATGTAATATAAGTCTGGAAAAGGTTGTGGGAGTTTCGAAGCTTTGAAACACTTTCGAGCTCTCTCGCTATACGTACTAAACCCCAAACTCTGAACCCTAAACCCTGGACAGCGAGCCCGATGCAGCAACCGCGCAACCCTAAACCCTGAACCCCAAAACGGAGCCCAAATCCCAGGCAACAACTAGGGTCCCTTTCTAGGTGCCAGAACTTGTGTGGAACTCTTAAAAAGAAGGGACCCTGATTTTGGGGTCGGGGTAGGATGTAGGGTTTAGCTTGTGCGGCGTAGCTGTGTCGGAGGCCATGTTCCGGGCGCAACAATCCCAGACTAAGCCCTGAACTCTAAATCAAAATGATTAGTGAGTCAGAGACTCAGAGTAGGGCTCAAAGCCTCTATCCTTGTTGGGGTACTATAACCCCTAAATATGCTCCCGAGGGCTAACCTCGTGTTGCTGTAGGGCACCAAACCCCAAACCCTAATCCCGAACTCCCTTTAGGATAAACCCTTAGTTGCTGTAGGATGCTGGGCAAGTAAAGAGACGCTTCTTCCTGCCCTATCGCAGGCGCAGTTTCTTTGACCGGGTCGGTGAAAGAATCGCTCCGGCCTTAAATCACGTTCCAGAATGCCTGTCCCAAGTGCCAAGTGCACCACTTACCTAAACAGTGGCTTACTAGTCATATGTCTCGGTATATACATACACACATATATACTTGTACCTGTATGCATATAGGTATGTATGCATGTATGTATGTAGGTATGTATGTATGTATGTATGTATGTATGGAAGTATGCACGGATGTGTTCATATGTGTATATATATATATATATGCAAGCATACGTGTATGTATACATCTGTCAGTGTTCTGTGACCGTCCCAGCAAACCATTGTTTAGGAAACTGAAGCCCTAGTAAAGCGATACTGCGAAGAACAAGCCAAGGTGCTACCCGCAAGAACCCCTGCACCCATGTAGTATATTCTTCGTCCATGTAATTTACACAGGTACTTTAGGGCGGAAGTATGTGTATATGTATATATATATATACACATACACTATTTGGGCACCTGGACCCTTAGGGTCGGATCATGCTTACATACGTAACCCTCTAGGCGCCCCTTCGTGTCAGGAAGTCTTTGGTTCCTTTTCCCTAGACCCTAAATTGTAAGCCTTGAACCCTAAACCCCTAAACCCTAAACAGTAAACCCTAAACCCTAAAACCCCAAAGCCCTAAAGCCTTAAAGCCTGAACCCTAAACCCTATAAGCCCGAAGCCCTAAGCCGTCCGATGGCAGCCCTAACCTTTTCAGGCCCCACAGCATCAGAAATACTTGGAGTCTTAGGGTTTAGGGTTTAGGGAGACCCCTGCCCAAAGATCCTGAGCCGTGATGTTGGGCACTTGAGAATGACCGAGGTCCGGCACAGCTGGGTACCCAAAGGAAGAGGCCTTTGCCAGTTGCTTCAAAAGCTTCGGGTTAGAGGGTGTGGGCTTCAAGGGTCGGGGTATAGGGATCTACCAGCATTCCTGAAGCCTCCCACTCCGATACCTCCCTAGAATTGTAAACCCCTCTCCTCGAACTTTAAGACTTCGACCGTTCACGCCCCGGGCTACCACGTGAGCAGCATACAGTCTCTGGGCTTTGTTCGTGTATCTGCATAATATAGCGGCATGACCCAATCAGACTAGGGTTTAACGGTTTAGGGTTTAGGGCTGTGTGGTTTCTATAAGGAGCCCTAAGCCTGAGGGTCCATGTACCCAAGCAGTAGAGATTTTGGCGCCAAAGTGCTTACATAGCGGCTACTTTATAAGGCAAATGTATACGTTGCATGTGTGCATGGACCCTTCGAGTAGGGAATACTACTGGTAGTTATTTGGGATTCTACGTTGTGCTATCATGACGGAGTTAGGCCCGCAAAGACCATCAATGTCAGCGGGCTCTAGTCAAGGAAGTTATCTTCAGCGTGAACATCAGAAGGAAACCATATGATTTGCTGCAGGTGCCTTTCATGTCGCAATAAAACAAGGTTCTTGACAAGACCTCAGCTTAGGGGACCTGTTTCCGAAACGAAAGCAGAAGTGGACCCAGTGGGTTTCCCCTCTGCGATATTGTGGTTTTCGAAGCTCCAGATTCTAGATCCTGTTTTCCAGGATCCCAAGACTCCTCCCCCTAAGCTCTAAACCCTAAACCCTAAATCCTAAACCCTAAACCCTAAAGCCCTTGTGTTCGAAGACGTCCACATGTTCACCGCGCTGCCTGCGATGCCAGAGG